CTAATGAGGAGAACAATGAAAAGTTCCTTAGAGCCCTTAATTATGCAAGTTACAGAACTGGAGTATCACTTACTTTCTTCTATGCTCTTTTAACAGCCTTGAAGCTTGAAAAGTAAGAGTGATACTGAATGGAAACAGTTCCTATTTGAGTTGATAACAGGGGAACAAAAGCGTTGCAGTTTTTCCTGGAGAGCTTTTAAAAGCAGTTGATGGTTCTAAGTGGTACAAAATGGAGAGTTAGGGTAGGCATCAGATCTACTGATGAATTTCAGGGGTGGCAAACAGTGAAGGTTTCATAGGCCTGTGATGTGATACTGAAAACTAATCAGTGGCTTGTGCCTGGGAGAAAGTGTTAGAGAGAAGAGCAATTGACCTGGGACCTGGGACTTGTTCACCCCGAGAAATGTCCCTGTGGCTCATTGTAAGTCATAAATTTGCCATGAAGTGATCACAAGGTAAAATGTTGACTCCCTGGGATAGAAAGAGCATAGAAACAGTCTTTTGGCACAAAATAATAATAATAATAATAATAATGCTAAAGATTGGAAGGGACCTCGAAAGATCATCTAGTCCAATCCCCCTGCCGGAGCAGGAACACCTAGATAATGTTACACAGGAATGTGTCCAGGCGGGTTTTGAACGTCTCCAGGGAAGGAGACTCCACAACCTCCCTGGGCAGCCTGTTCCAGTGTTCCGTCACTCTCACTGAGAAGAAGTTTCTTCTCAAGTTTAAGTGGAACCTCTTGTGTTCCAGTTTGTACCCATTACCCCTTGTCCTATCATTGTTTGCCACTGAATAGAGCCTGGCTCCGTCCTCGTGACACTCCCCCTTTATATATTTATAGACACTTATAAGGTCACCCCTCAGTCTCCTCTTCTCCAAACTATAGAGACCCAGCTCCCTCAGTCTTTCCTCATAAGGGAGATGCTTCACTCCCTTAATCATCTTAGTTGCCCTGCGCTGGACTCTCTCCAGCAGCTCCCTGTCCTTCTTGATCTGAGGGGCCCAGAACTGGACACAATATTCCAGATGGGGTCTCACCAGGGCAGAGTAGAGGGGAAGGAGGACCTCTCTCGACCTACTAACCACCCCCGTTCTAATACACCCCAGGATGCCATTGGCCTTCTTGGCCACAAGGGCACAGTGTTGGCTCATGGTCATCCTGTCGTCCACTAGGACCCCCAGGTCCCTGTCCCCTACACTGCTCTCTAACAGGTTGTTCCCCAACCTATACTGGAACCTGGGGTTGTTCCTGCCCAGATGCAGGACTCTACACTTTCCCTTGTTATATTTCATCAAGTTATTCCCTGCCCAACTCTCCAGCCTGTCCAGGTCTCGCTGGATGGCAGCACAGCCTTCTGGCGTGTCAGCCACTCCTCCCAGCTTAGTGTCATCAGCAAACTTGCTGATAGTACACTCAATTCCCTCATCTAAATCGTTGATGAATATATTAAATAATACCGGTCCCAGTACTGACCCTTGAGGCACTCCACTAGTTACAGGCCTCCAACTAGACTCAGCCCCATAGACTACAACTCTCTGGCTTCTCTCCTTCAACCAGTTCACAGTCCACCTCACTACCTGATCATCCAGTCCACACTTCCTCAATTTAGCTGTGAGGATGCTGTGGGAGACTGTGTCAAATGCTTTGCTGATGTCAAGGTAGACCACATCCACCGCTCTGCCATCATCCATCCACCGTGTTATTTCCTCATAAAAGGCTAAGAGATTGGTCAAACATGATTTCCCCCTGGTGAAGCCATGTTGACTGCCCCTCATAACCCTCTTATCCTTGATATGCCTTAAGATGGCACCAAGGATAAGGTGTTCCATCACTTTCCCAGGGATGGAGGTGAGGCTGACCGGTCTATAGTTACCCGGGTCCTCCTTCTTGCCCTTTTTGAAGACTGGAGTGACATTTGCTTTCCTCCAGTCCTCAGGCACCTCTCCCGTTTCCCAAGACTTGGTAAAGACGATGGCTATATAAAGACTGTTGTAACTAAAGCAGGCTGAGAAAGAGGAAATATTTTTTTGCAGGTTTGCATGAGAAGGAAAATGTAATAAATTAAAAACCTTCTATCTCAAGACAGTAGTAACAACCCACACTAAAAAATGTGTGGTGTTTTAATAGTGTCTGCCTTAATGCAGTGATATGTTACATTGGATCCAAGTAGTAGTATCTATCGATGATAATCCAGTATAAACCTACTACTGTATATGAGTTCAAAGGAGAGTTATAATAAAGCATCAGAATATAGACTAGACATGCAGCTGTTGGAGCAAGTCCAGAGGAGGCCCACGAGGATGACTGGGGGGTGGAGCACCCCATGTATGAGGACAGGCTGAGACAGTTTGGGCTTTCAGCCTGGAGAAGAGAAGGCTGCGTGGAGACCTCAAAGCAGCCTTCAAGTATCTGAAGAGAGCCTACAAGGTTGCTGTAGAGGAACTGTAGCAATAGGACAAGGGGTGATGGGTTTAAACTTTAACAGGGGAAGTTCAGGTCAGATATATGGAACAAGGTCTTTACTGTGAGGGTGGTGAGGAACTGGAACAGGTTGCCCAGAGACGTGGTGAATGCTCCATCCCTGGCAGTGTTTAAGGCCAGGATGGACAGAGCCTTGGGCGACATGGTTTATGGTGAGGTGTCCCTGCCGTTGTCAGGGGGTTGGAACTAGATGATCTTAAGGTGCTTTCCAGCCCTAAGCATTCTGTGATTCTATGTCTTAGTCTTAGGGAAAACTGTGATAAAGAAAATGTTATAAAAGTTGTTTCTTGGGTATTATCTAGATTACCAACAGAAGAGTAATGCTGCTTGGAGAGTATAAATTAGATGCTAACTGAGTAAATTTGGGGAGATGGGTTCCAGTGTTCAGTTTTGATTATAAAGGCAGAAATGAGACGTCAAATACTGTGATTGCATAAATGGCTAAAAGCAGTCTATTTGTGCCTGTTTTTACCAGTATGAGTTGTACCCAGGCTTGACAAGGCTGTATCTGGAATGCTTGAGTTTTTTTTTACCAGACTGTGAAATGAGTGAAGACTAGAAGGGATGTCTGCAGTTTTCATGGATGGAGTTCTTTAGGAAGTTGTATTAAAATGAAAGAATGAGCTAACTGAGCACGAGTAGGATATAAAATGAATCTGAAGCTTAAACGTAGAGTTGGATGTTGGCACTGAGAAAGTCTCCTCCTTGCTAGCAAGTATGGCATTCTTTTAAAAATGACCCCAGAACTCAACAAAGTTGAGTTTTTAACCCCTGACTTGCAAAGCTGGAGTGCAATAAAAGGATGAAACCTCAGTTTCCAAGTAGTAGATGACTGAAGTTCATATTTAAAAACAAAAAACTCCTGAGTCAACAACAGCTTCAGGATAGCCCTATGAAAATTTGCTTACTGAAGGTGAAAATTGCATTTAGTGTAAGCTGAAGTCTTCCAAAGTTCTTTGAAGAATATCCAACAAGGGATATGAACAAAGATCTGAATCTGGCATTTACATTTTAAAAGTCCAGGTTGTCTTTTTCTTAGCTGCCTTTAGGGGATGATAGGAAAGTTTAGGATCAATGAACTAGAACTTCTGGATTGCTCCTTTATGACCAGGCAGAACTGGTAGAAGCTGTTCTTGTATTCATAAAAGCACAAGTTGGGATACAACTAGCTGGTGGTATGTCCTGGGTTCTGGTTTTCCACCTTCCAGCAGACAAAAGCAGCACAAAGAAGAGCTACCAAAAAGACTGTTCATGTATCACAGGCAAATAGAAATTGAGTCATGGGTATTAATAGAGAAAAATCCATCAAAAATGCACCTGTGGGGAGACAGAAATTCCCATTGTCCAGGTAAAGTGTTTAGTTATATCTTGCAGAACTTCCAGTGGAGGGCCCTTAAAGAGATAAAGTGGCAATTACTTTCACTTTAGACTTCAGCAGACAGAGATTCTGGCACATCTTTGAGAGATCCTGAGAATCGGGAAGAAAGAAATAGAGCCAGTTGTGCCTTTAGAGAAGGAAGTGGGAAAGTTCATGTTTTTAGAAATTAATTTGCATGGAATGAAAGACGGTGTTCACAAAGAAACTACTGAGAATTTGTTTCAGGGAAAAGGGAGAGACTGATAAAACTTCTCTCCCACACGCTGTGATTCAGGTATTAATAAGGAACCCTAGAAACTATCCAGCTAGTTTTTGATGACAAGGAGGTGTTTTGATGACCAGTACAGGTTTGTGTTCTAATACAGCATCTTCTTTCTCTTCTAAAAGTGCGTGTGATTACACATAATAAGGGAATTGTGAAGGACTTTTTATATTAATCTTTACCATCCTTTTGGTGTAAGTTTGTATTGCACTTCTTGGAGATAAGGTGATGTTTTGTCCTACATGGAGTTCAGTAGAAGGCTAGTGTATTGTCATGGGTTCAGTAGAAGTTGAATGTATTATCAAGACTTTCTGCTTAGAAGTTGTCTTTCCTCCTGACTAAAACTACTATACAAATGCATTTTTTAACAAAATGGTTTTATTGATAATGAACAGCTGGAGGAATCCAAAAAGCCTGTGTGCATCATATAGGTTTATAGAGAGAATTTCTTGTAACAGTCTTCCAATACCAAAAGGAGCTGACAAGAAACCTGGAGAGGAACGTTTGACAAAGGCCTGTAGGGACAGGACAAGGGGGAAATGGTTTTAACCTGACAGAGGGGAGATTGAGATGAGATCTTAGGCAGAAGCTCTTCCCTGTGAGGGTGCTGAGGTGCTGGCATGGGTTGCCCAGAGAAGCTGTGGCTGCCCCATCCCTGGCAGTGTTCAGTGCCAGCTTGGACAAGGCTTGGAGCAGTGTGGTCTAGTGGAAGGTATCCTTGCCTGTGGCAGGGGTTGGAACTAGATGAGCTTTAAGGCCCCTTCCAACCCAAATTGTTCTGTGATTCTATATCAAAGATTTTCAGTGATACAGTCAATATAAATAAACAATATGAATAGCTGAAATAAACATGTTTTAATACCTTGTATTTCAGGCCATAACTTCTGTGCTGAGGGACACAAATGTGGTGAAAATTCTGAGTGCAAAAACTGGAACACAAAAGCGACTTGTGAATGCAAGACTGGTTTTCTCTCTGTCCAAGGGGATTCTGCCTACTGTGAAGGTAAACAAGATATTCCAATACCTGCCCCCTTAACATCGTGTTTGGAAACATGGTGTTAAACAAATGGTTGAGGAATGAATTTCATTGCAATATTTCATTTCAATAGATTTCATTTCATGATGGCGAATGTCACAAAGGAGTTTTTTTTGCCTTCATAAATGTGGACTGCAGATGATTAGTGCTGCTGGACCATTCAGATTGCCTGTCCTGTCTATGGGTGTGCTTAATTGCTGCAGCTGTGCCTGGGCACACTGTGACCCTGCTGGCATTAGCAAGGGTGAAATACTGTTTCTTTTTCAGAGATAGCACCTAGCTTCTAAAATGTTTTCTAGAGAACAACATCTTTGTAATTTAAAAAGGAAGTGGGGAATTTAGGAAGTTTAGGAATTCTGCTAGTGTGTGTGAGCAAGGTCAGTGTGTAGGTGTACTGAGGCTTGGATACAGAAATTATGATATGCAGTCCTTCCTGAAGCACTTCTGTGGGACAAGGGCTTTACTGAAATGGTTTTCGTATGATCCAGAAGAGACCTATTTCTGAGGAGTGTGTACCTGAGGTGCTTCTGTTGATGTATTATTCCATCACAGGAATGGATGCAAGGAGACATTATTCTCCTTTTCTGTTTCTCAGTGTTTTCTAGAGCTTGCTGTTACTCATAGCTATGATGTACTTATTAAAAACTAAATGGATGAATCAACGTATGCCACATCCCTTCCTGCCTTTGCATTGTGGTTTTGTTTTTTTTTTTGTATGTCAGGCTGCAATATTTAATCTTTTGGCCATCATTTCCCTAGATTCTGTTTCCAGCTGTGATGGAAGGGAGGTGGCATTTTTGACAAGCTGTGAAAAGAGACTGCAGAAATTGGAAGTCTACCAGTGTAGACTGGGCTTAAATGATCCTGCTTTCATAAAAAGACTTTTGAGCATGTAAGTGAACAGGACTGCTTGAAATAGCAGTTTTTAGAGCTGTTCAATAAATTACAACTATAAATCTCAAGGTATTTAGTCAGTTCTTTACAAACAGAAATGTGAACACTTCTGTGCATGCACGTTCCGCGACTGGGAGAACGGTTTACCCGTTTGTTTTTAAAGGTAGGTAGCAGATACACTGTAGACAGAGAAATTTTTTAGTATAAAACCCTTATGAGAAGAGCTGCCCTTATATGCACTGCAAGGGCTTCTCAGAAATCAGAAAACAGCAGCAAGGCTCTTCATCAACTGTGATACCGAATTCAGGATTTCTATTTTTCTGTTTAAAAAAGAAAATCAGTGCTTAGTGCTTTTATTTACTAGTAGCAGACTGTCCCTCTTTTCCTCTATGGAAAAACATTTAACATCTTGATTCAAATAGTTTTGGAGATGTTGGCAGTGCACTGGTGGTAGTGGTGGGGAAAACGAGTTTTTTTTAAGAAATTAGTGGGAATTGCAACATAACTGGTCTGTATTGTGTTACATTCTGGAAGGGCAAATGGAATTCCTGACTTCTGAGCATGTGGGTGAAACCTGAGGCAAGAGAACAAACACAGCTGCTTTTGCTTCCTGAGAGCATGGGATAGATGAGAGAGAGCAGCTTTATGTGTATGATGAAATTATAAATTTGATGGATGGTGAGTAGTCTTCAGGAGGTAACATGGAGAAGAAAAGGCCCTTTAGCAAGGGGAACTACAGGCTGACAAATTGATTAGCCAAAACGTGGCTTCGTTCAGCCCTGTGAAGAGCTGCCTTTCAGTCCTTGGAACAGCTTTCTGCAAAATTGCCTTCTATGCCTAACCCGTTTTGTTTTGTCTGTGTGTTTAATCTGCTAAATAGCAGCATTTCATAGTTGGCTGTATAATGTTTTCAAATCCATGGTGAAGCTGTAATTTATATCGGTGATGTCAAAGGCATGGATCTGAAGGTACAGTTTGGCAGGGTGTTCGTATAGATAGGGGTGGATTCTTTTTGGGGGGTGTTGGATTTCTGTGTGTACAGTGTAAGAATAAAATACACAGAACACCTGAATAAGGAGGAGTAAACATTCACAACACCTGTGGAAGCAAGGAAGGTGTTATTCTCAGCTATAGTTCTGAATTTGTCTTCAGCATTCTGAAGCTTTTGAACTTAAGGGACATTAAGATTGACATTTCCTTTGAGATGGTGAGGTTCAACTATTTCATACTCGTGACATGCTGGTAAGTGGCACCTTACTTCAGAGTGCTCCAGATAATTAACTTGGAGCTTTCCAGATTTCTCCTCTCTTCCGATGAACTTGAAGTAGTTTTGCATATGAATTCTAATGTAGGGTGTTATTTTACCATACCTGCTTTTTGCTGTTATTTCTGCTTGCTCTTACTCACCCGGTTTTATTCTGCTGGACCATATGGCATCATTTTGATCTTGTAAGGTCTCTGAAGAGTTGTTTTGAGTCTGCTTTGCTTTTTGACTTGTATTTGTGTTTTTTTTTTAACATTCCATCTTCACATTTGCAGTAAGGAGGAAAAATTAAAAGGATTCTTGATTTTGTCAGAGAATTGTCATCAGCAGATTTATAAAATAAATAACAAGAATCTGAGGGGCTTTTGCTATTAATTCTCAGTAACTACTTTTCAAGTAGTCAGCAGCTCCTCATGTCAAAATATACGTGTGGCATAACCACTCACTATATGCATTCCATCTTTGTAATAACATAGATGTGTTTAGGGAAGACAGTTTCTGAAAACAAACAAATAAATGAAGCTGGTAATGAATGAAGGGGTAAGTGGAGATTCTCTGTATGCTGTAAAAAAGCCATGTGTTTCACTTAAAAGCAGAAAAGTTGAGCAGTTTTTTTGATGTTTATGTACTTGTCATGTGTATATGAGACATAATTGGAACATTCATCATTTGCAGAGAGACATCTAGAGATATTTCTATCATGTTGCCTGAGCTTTAACTACTGGTAGGGATACTTATGTACAAGTATTGGACCTGTGCCTGTTTATCTCTGTCACATACGCATGGATAAGTTTTGAGAACTGCACAAGTGGGATCAAGTTCAGTGTCTGCAGGGTACAAGGATTCTAGCTGTAGCAGCACGTGCACACTTGCTGGCATGTGAATACCTGTGTTGGGGGCTCAAAGTTGCAGCCTGAGAGTTAGGTACAGATGGAGCAGCAGTTCAGTGGCAAAACCAGGCCCAAAAATGGGAATTCACTGAGGCTCCCTCATGGTGATCCTTCCAGGCACATTCTGTGCTGTGTACAGCAGCCTTGAAAATCCCACAACTGTGAATTTTGTTTGGAAACTAGTGAATGAAATGAAGTTTTTATCCTTCAGTAAAACAACCAAACAGCCAAAAAAGCCCCAACAACTAAGACCCAAACTTCCTGCAGCCTAAATGGACAAATCTGGTTTCTCATACGAATAATAATAAAAATATTATTAATAGCAAATGTGCTTTGCCTTTAGCATAGCTCTGGGTTGTTCCACTAAATATTATCTATTGCCTTTTTCTTTCTGTGAATGTACTTTCTTTCCTGTAGATGGAAGACCAAAATTAGTTCTAAAAGTACAAAAGTCTCTAAATCCATGACAAGTGTCAGTTTATACTGACACGTTTTTGGTAAGTTGGTAAGTGACTTACTGATATGGTTCTGGGTATTCAGAGCTGATGTGCATATGCAAAACAAAGTACAAAAGTTCAGAAACAGTTGGAAAAGGCATTATTGCTGACCTAGGGCTTTGCTATACCCTTCACTCTCTCCTTTCTCTGTCATCATTTCAGCATGCGCATTTTGCATCCATCTCCAGCATTTCTCCTCATGCCTTTTGTTCAGATTAATTTGGAATTGAGTTGTGTGCTGATGGTACGGGCTGTGTCTGTATTAAGTGGAAGCTATTCTGGATTTATTTAGAGTTATTGAGCTTTTGGCATTATCCAGATGTGGTAGGGTTACACTGATGGATAGAAATGTTAATGTATTTCTGCTCACAACTGGAATGGAGAGATAATATGATTTATATATTTGTATTAAGTTTAATTTTCAAACAATAAGTAGGTTCCCCATTTTCTCAGTGTTATGAGGAGCTATATTTGAACTGAAACTGAGACTGTCCTAGTAAGAAAAGGAAGCCTTACCTGGCCTTCAGGGATGTAGGATCTGTCTGTTTCCTGATGTACATGTGTCTGTGCAGGTTCTTCTGTGCAGAAACTGGGACAAAATCCTTTGTTGTCTTCCTGGGGTATTGTGAAGTTTACTGGATGAAGACAGGCTGAGAGAACTGGGCTTCTTCAGCCTGGAGAAGGGAAGGCTCTGTGGAGACTTTAGAGCAGCTTCCAGTGCGTAAAGGGGCTACAAGAAAGCTGAAGAGGTGCTTTGGACAGGGTCCTGTGGGGACAGGACAATAATACCACAAAATAGACTGAACTAAGTGCAGAAAAGTAAGGAAACTGCTGATACAGGAAGTTTGGTTTTGTTTTTACTTCCTAAATGTTATTGACAGCTGAGGAAAGGCATTCTATAAAATATTCATGTCCATACTTAATTTTCAGAAGGATAATTCCTCTTACTCTGTAAGATTTTTGACAGGGAAATTGATTTCATTCAGGGGGGCAGCTGCCCCTGGAAAATCTCTCAAAAAGTGCTTTTTTCTAAGACATGTACCAGTATTTAATAATCTCCTTCTTTGTACCTGAGTCTATTTGGAGGCTGTGGAAAAGAGTTAAAAATAAGTTAGAGAGAGACTTTGATTCAAGTAATGGAAATTAGGACAAAAGTCTGTACAGCATCCACAAAGACAACTCATATATTGATGGTCGTTTCCTGTTTGGTTTGCTGGCTCTTACACTATATTTAATATGCAAATTTTTTCCCCCAAAAGAAAGCTTACCATTTTTCCAGTTAATGTGTCTGCCTTTCATTTCTGAAGGGTAAATTTCAACATACATTTTGGGTATTCCAGATAATTTTTAACTCTGTTCTTGGAACTTTCTTTTAATTTCCTTCTCTCATTTCTAGATTAGCTCAGTTTTCCTTCTTGCTAT